TATATGTATATATTTATATATATATATATATATGTATATATTTATATTTATAGATATAGATATGTATATATTTATATATATTTATATATATATATACATGTGTATATGTATATATATATATATGTGTGTATATGTATATGTGTGTGTGTGTATATGTATATATATATATATATATATATATATATGTGTGTATATGTGTATATATATGTGTGTATATGTGTATATATATATATATATACACACACGTACCATCACAGGGCCAGTTTCAGGCATAAATAAAACGCAACTAGGAGCACATTTTACACCTCATCAGAAGACAGAGGAAATACTAAGTTTTATCAGGAACTGATCTGGTTGTTTGTGAGCTGCCAGCTGGTGGTTTAGATGTTCAGAACTTGGAACTGTAAAGAATGAAGCTTTAACTTCCACCACCAAAAGTCCCCCCACCCCCCTCCTGGTTGCACAGTCCTGCTCCGGGCTCATCACTCAGCAAGTCTATTTTTCTCTTTTTATTTTCAATCCCAGCAGCTCGGCCAATCGCAGAGGCGGGCGCTGCCAAAACAAAACGACCACTTGACCTATAGGAGCTCGTCCACCTGTCCTGGCGGACTCCGGTGCCATGTCCCCCGAGCCATGACGCCATATCTGCCAAATGGAAACAGAAGTCTTAACGACAGGTCGGACGGATGGTTCTCAGATCGGTATCTGGGCTCCTGATGGGTTTTCTGAGGGTTCCCGTTTGGTTTAAAGTGAAAGTGGAATTAGTTTGGTCTCTGGGTCAGCTGTTCATAAGGAGAACAGGTTGTAGATCAAAATATTGTAATCTGAGTGTAAAATCTGAGCGTCCTTATTGTAACTGAAAACTTCAGCCTCATAAAAATATCACTGAGGATAAAAACTATAAAATAAACAACAAGGGTTCATAGTCTAACCAACAGATATGTAGAGTTAAGCAAAATGTTACACTTTTATTCGATTTTTTTAACAAGTGAAACACAAAAGTCAGAAAATGTGCATTCAGACCATTTTTAAGCAAAACTTCATAAAACGTTTTTCAATTAAACAAATCTCGTTTTTAATTCCAACTGTGGTGAACCTGCACAAATTACTCATCGTGCTGTTTTAATATCGTGTAAAATAATTAAATAAATAACAGGACTGAAACTGTACATTTTTTTGGAAACTGTAATACAAAAATGCAGCACAATAATTTGTATGTTTTATTGCGTTTTTTTTTTAAATTTTTTTTTAGAAAAACAAATGTTAAACGTCTAACACTCGTCCACTACAGTTAAGTCAGGTCCTCTGAACAGTTTCTTTGTGTTGAAACGTTTCATCCTTCATCCAAAGGACTTCATCATTCCAAGGAGCCACAACAAATTCAGTCCCACAGTAGCACATTGACATAGTGGGCCAACCAGTTTGATGGTGATAAGATGGTTTCTGGAGTCTGCCCTCAACACAAAGAAATCATCCAGAGGACCTGAGTTAACTTTGTTGGATTTTTAACCTGGATTATTGAGCATGAACTTTGATGTTTTGAACCACTTTAGCCATGGCTGCCTCAGAGGAGTCGACGGGGGAGAGAGCAGACTCCAGAAACTATCTGATCACCATCAAACTGGTTGGTCCAATATATGAGGCGCTACTTATGGGACTGAGTTTGTTGTGGCTCCTTGGACTGATGAAGTCCTTTGGATGAAAGACGAAACATTTCAACACAAAGAAACCGTCCACAGGACCTGACTGAACTTTGTTGTATTTTTTACCTGGATTGTTGAGCATGAACTTTGATGTGCAACACTCGTAATCGCACCAGTGATGGTGATAGATATTTTCTCTGCTTTACGTGAGGCTCAGTGATAATTCTTCAGTAACAAATGTCATCCCAGGAGCAGAAATGTGAAACAGAACGTGTCTTTTTAAACCATAAAAGTTTTTACAACAACAACAACAAAAAAAAATCATCCAGAGGACCTGAGTTAACTTTGTTGAATGTGTCTTTTTCTTCATGGGGGGTGTAAGGTTCTCTGTGTTCCTTCCGAATTAATATTTTCTCAAATCTTCAAAAGTGTCTCACAAAAGCGCTATTCGCTGTCTTGCTTCAAGTTGTCCTGAAACAGGATCAAAGTTGTGGTCTCTCTTTAAATATCGTCTTTGTGTTCTTGTAGATTTTAAAAATGTCATTCAGGCTCTGGGGTTGAACACACCAGAACAGGAGGAGGAGAAGGAGGAGGTGGCGTCTCCATGGATTCAACGTCAGGTGAAAGTTTTGGTGGCGTCACCAACATCCGAGTCTCTTCCACGTTCATCGTGTGTTTGTTGCTGCCGTGACGCCTGGAGTCTCTCTCAGTCAGCAAGTGAGGGGGGATGTACCCCGACTGCGTCTTTGTGCGCTCCCTGCCATGACGGGGGTCGTTTGGGGACTTTTGAGGACAGCGGCCTCTTTTGTCCTGCCCCCGGAAGCCCCTGAGTTTGGGGTTCCAGTGTTCCCGCCACTGGAGGGCCAGGGTGGAGCGGTCCGCCACCAGACGACTCTCCTCGGGGCCCCAGCTCCGCTCCCCTTCCTCGGCGCCGATCAAGAGGAACGTCCGGCCTACGTGGAGGGCGGGGCAGCCGCAGCTGAGGTCACGGTCCGGGACCCAAAGGGACTGGGGGCCCCTGCGGATGCGGGAGTTGGACCCTGTACGGAAGACTGTTTGTATGGAGATGGAAAACTGCCACCATGGACCCGAGCGCTCCATCCCTTTGACCTGCACCTTCAACACTGACAAAAACAACAACAGTTAAAAACTTTTCACCTGACCACCATGATCTTATCATATCTGTACTCAAAATAAAGAAAGCAGGTTTATTTATTAATAACTATAACAATATTAAGTGGATACTAACCGTAATCCTTGAGACAATAGGTCTCCAAGTTCATGGTGACTTTCACCTGCGAGGGCTGGCAGTACGAGACGCACTCCTCCGCTGCGTGGAAGAGGGAGAGCGCTGCCATCATTTCATGACACTCATATCAGCACATGTATTTCCCCCTAATTACAATATGGCTTCTTGTGTTTGTCATCACAGTATCCTCTGACAGCAGCAGGTGGGACATTCCTCCAGCTGCCACTAGGAGGAAACGCTTCGCTGCTGCTTCGCTAAGAGTTGAGCCACAGGGCAGCATGAAGTCATAAATCTAAATATTATACATGATGTGAAAAACAAGTGGGATAAAAGTGCTGAATGGTTGGTTTGAAATCAGGTCAGTGCTCCTCATTTGACATTAATCCATCTTGTTATGGTAACAGAACTCAAATTTTACTCTTTTACATTATTTAATGTGTGATTAAAGAAGAAAACAATACGTCCAGAAAGTAAATATGAATGGATCTAGGTGTGGCATGACCAAAAAGATGAACGGAGCCTTTATTTGAACGCAAGTATCAAATACGAAGAACAAGAACGCAAGAATGGTCAATAACAGTTCTAGACACAACTATACTAAATTATGAACGCACTTCATCCATCCATTATCTTTTACCCGCTTCTTCCATTTTGGGTCACGGGGGTCGCCGGTGCCCATGTCCAGCAATCACTGTGCGAGGGGCGGGGCACACCCTGGACGGGTCTCCAAGTCCATCACAGGGACACATAGAGACAAAGGAGACAAACAACCATTCACTCTCTCACTCACACCTAGGGACAATTTAGAGTTACCGATCAGCCTAAGATGTATGTTTTTGGTCTGTGGGAGGAAACCGGAGTCCACGCATGCACGGAGAGAACATGCAAACTTCACCCAGAAGGGCCCTCGGACCGGGAGTTGAACCGGGGACCTGCTCGCTGAGAGGCAGCAGCTCTACCAGTTGAACCACCGTGCTGCTGAACGCACTTCATGTCTTTGATTTCAAATAGTTTATTTATTTAAAAATGAAATTTTAAAATAACTGTTCAGGACATTCCTGTACAGTTTAAATCAGTGAGTGGCTGATACCGTCATGATCATGAGATCACTTCATAAACAGTGGGTGCTTAGCCTTTCAGAACTGTGTGAATGTTTCTAAATCATTCACAGTAAAGATCCAATTTTCCTTCTGTACATTTTTCAGCACGTAGCTCGTTCATCAACTTTTATGCTATTTTAACAACTCATACATCATTTTATCATTTTCATTTCATGTCTTCTATTTATTTTTTCATTTTATATGCTTTTTATAAGATTGTTGGGCCAGTTTCAGAATCTACATTAACTCAAGTTAGATACCCAATATCTTTTCTTGGTTGCAGGTTCCTCAACACGAGTTTGATTGGTCTCGTTTGATGTTCTCCGTTGCACTTTTGACATCATAATCAAAGATTACTGAAAAAATTCAAGTGAAAAAAGCCTTTTACGTTCAACAAATCATCTTGGGGGCCAGATAAGATGTCAACGAGGGCCACATTTGGCCCCTGGGCCTTGAGTTTGACATATGTGGTCTACAGTATTGTTATAATACGTAATATTGTAATAAATAATACATTCAAAAAGTAAAGGATATGAATGGATCTAGGTGTGACATGACCAAAAAGAGGGCCGAAGCCTTTATTTGAACGCAAGGATCAAATACGAAGAACAAGAACTCAAGAAAAAAAGATTGACCATGTGATCAGCTGGTTTTGGTTGTAAGCAGCAAACTGGTTGATCCACTCTGAGAAGGTGCTATTTGAGAGACTGAGCTGAATACAGCACCTCAGACTGAGGAAGTCTTTCAGATAAAAGACGAAACGTTTCTACATTTTTTATTTTTTTTTGAATGTCCAGAAGACCAGATTTAAATATTTTTATATTTTTCTACCTGGATTATTGAGCATGCATCAGGATATCAAGAACAGAGACTTTAACTCAGTTCACTGTGGTGACCCTTAAAGAAGGGAGCAACCGTAAGAGGAAAAAAAAAAACATATATATATATATATATATTTATACTGTATATGATTGTCTATTATTGATTGATACCTCATCTGTGTTCTTTGTTTAAAACAGGTCTCTCTTGTAAATTAGTCTTTTTAGCTCAAAGAGACTAACATGTATAAATAAAGGTTGAAGGAACGAATATTAAAACATTCAGCTCCTTCAGCACATTCCTACTATAACTTCTGGTGTTTGTGCAATTTAAACTTTTTGAATTATGTAGCATTTTCGGCCATGTTTTTCCTCATTAAAAAAAAGAATGGAGCTCTCCACATCCTTTAAACCTTTTGAGCTGTTTGAAACTTTTTACTGCTCATTTCAGCTTTCATTCTGGGTCAGCTTTTTTGTGCCAATTTCAGCTTTCTTCTGATAGATTTTAAGTATTTTATCTGCTAATTTTAAGCTTTTTTCAGACATTATTTTTTCTTCTAATTTTGATCTTTTGTGCTTAATTCTAATAATTACATTTTTATTCTCCTTTCAGCTTTTTTCTGTTAATTTCAGCTTTTAAAGCCTTTTTAACTATAGTTCTTGTAAGTTTAAATTATTTTTTCTGCCTAATTTCAGTTTCTTTTTTGCTCATTTCAGTTTCTTTGTAACCTTGTCAGCCTCTAAATGTATTTCAGCTTATTCTGCTAATTTTTTCTACATTTCTGCTCTATTCAGCCTTTTCAACATGATTCTACCATTTTCTGCTGCTTTTCACTTTTATCCTCCTGCTTTCAGCAAACGTCAGCTGATCAAATTCAACTCTCATTAAGAGTTTAGTGATGAAACCTTTTCAGCCCAGTTTCAGCAACGATCATTCAGCAGAGAGCGTTCACGCTGCATTGTTGCAGAAAATGCAATTGCTCTAGTTATAATAAAATTCTTATATTTTTGAGATACCGAGTCAAATTTATGAGACACAATTTCATATTTAAGACAAAAATACTCTCATAATTATTAGATTGCTTAAATAAATACAATCCTGTGTACAAAAACTAGTACAATCCTATCCTCATACATCCTATGAGTTGTATCATGGGACAATCTTATAATGAGAATGTTGCTAAATCGTAACATCGTCTTATAAATATGAGTTAGCTTCTCATCTTCATGAGCTGCTGAGGCTACATTTACACTGCGTTAATGCTCAGATCTGATTTTTGCTCAGATCTAATATTTTTCATGTGGTTCTTCAGATTATAATTTAAATATGATCCTTATCAGAATGCGCAGAAGAAGACGTAATGTCACACCCAACATGCTGTGCTTAGGGAAGTCAATATGAATGCCACACATGTTAGCATGTCTGTATCAATTCTGAAGTTGTTGTGCAACCAGAGCCAATCAATTGAGCATCTGACACGATTGTTTGGTTCCCTGTTTACATTTGATCTGACCTCTTCAGGGCTACTCTGTCACAGATTTGCAGTTCTGCAGCAACAAGCTGAAACAAACAGAAGTATTGATCTCATCACGTTGGTCTCGATACGATTCAACTCCAACGTTAGCATTATGTGTTGCTGTGGATTCTAAATCATCCAGGAATTGGCAAATTTAAAAAAAAAAGGAGAACGCAACTGGACTTTTGTTCTGTAGCTGAAGATGTGTGACGTTCACAGATTTAAACTGCAGGACGTTGGAAGTGATATCCTCTGTACTTGGATCGATCAAAATCCACCAACCTCACTGACGTAAAGATTAAATGAAATGCAACTTGACTGTTCAGGCTGAGTTCGCTTTGAAAAACATGTATTGGATTGAGTGCTACATATGAATAAGACCTGGGTTTGATATAAAAAAATAAAAAATAAAATTTGTCACATTCAGACTGTCATAAAATCTAATATGGTTCACATCAGGACAATAATCATCAGATTTGGGACATATTTGCCTGCAGTGTGAATGTAACCATGGTCATATCCATAAGAGCTAATATTTATGACTCATACCTCTTATTTCATCTCATATTTATGGCTTAGCATCTCATCATTATGGCTTATATTTATCACACATCTATCTCATAACAGCTCATAGTTATGAGATGCTACTATTATAAGTGCTAAGCTAATTATGAGTTAGCTCTCTTAATATAAGGAAAGGCAAATTCTTGCACATGAGATCTTAAACTCTAATTAGTTTTCATTTAGGCGTCTATTTTGATTTGATGTACTCGCATTTAGATAGCTAAGAAAGCTAAATCTTAATTTTTAATACGGTGATGGAAACAGATCTATACACTTATTGCAAAGATTTAACAAAAGGTAGATGAACTCACCAATGCTGTACTGGGGTTGGTACACTGGGGTCGGAGCGACCTCCTGAATTCCTGTGAGCATAGACAAGAGTTTTAAACAGGTGTCAGATGTGCAGAGAAACCTTCAGGCTACCTACGGAAGCTGTCAGATTGTTGCACTCGTGTGTTTTATAGGTACTGTGTTGGAACGCCTCTCGGTACACGGGCATGTCTGCACAGAAGGTAAGCAAGTGCCATTAGGAGTGAGTGTGTGGTCCTTTTATTGCCTGGAAACACACCCTGTAAGGCTCGTCCAACACGACCAGACGTAAACTTTACTTTTGGTCATTTTAATAAGGTAAGACCATACACCAACACTTGCATGTTTTTGTCTCAAACACTGAACAGGCTCTTGTAAAGTCACCCCCTACATGTGAGTGTATGGGCCAGTAAAACTGGGGAATCAAAATTAACAACTTGGTTAGACGGACGTATATTATCCAGACCTATTGTAAATGTTCCACCGTATATGTTAGGGCTGCTCCTGTTTTCTTTGACACAGTTGAGCTGGTGATTCCCAAACACCTCCAAGCTGAGAACCCCCACCCCCCCCACACACACACACACACACACATTTTAAATAACAGTGAGATTGTGTCTTTGCATGCACATGTAATTAAAAAAATGTATCTAGTAAGAGTTAACTGACCACTCTAGGTTGGAAGTGAGGTGGCTCAAGTGCCTCAAGTGGAGTTCAAATATCTCTGGGCTTTGTTCAAGAGTAACGGAAGAATAGCGCATGAGATTGACAGAAGGATCGGCGCAGCTTTCACTGTATTGTGGACTCTGTGTCGGTCCGTTGTGGTACAAAGGAGCTGAGCTGCAAGACAAACCTCTCTGTTCACTAGTTGGTCTACATTCTTACCCTTACAGTCAAAGACTCTGGGTAGTGACCAGAAGAACGAGATTGTGAATGCAGGCAGTCAAAATGAGTTTCCTCTGCAGAGTAGTTGGACTCTCCCTTAAGGTGAGAAATTCAATTATCCAGGAGAGACTCCACATCAAGAGAAGCCAGTTGAGGTGGTTTGGGCATTTGGTAAGGATGTCCCCTGGACGTCTCCTTAGGGAGCTACTATGAGCATGTCGGACTGGGAGGAGACCCAGGACACGCTGCAAAGACTATACGTCTCTTGGCTGGCCTGGGAACGCCTTGGGATCCTCCCAGAAGAGCCGGAAGAGGTGGTTGTGGAAAGAGAGGTGTGGGCCTCCCTGCTTAAGCTGCTACCCCCGTGACACGACTACAGGACGAGCGGCATATAATGGATGGATGGATTGGTGGGTGGGTGGATGGATGGAAATGTAAAAGATCAAAATGAAGCAATTTGCATGCAGATTGCTCACTTCAGGTCCTTCCACAACATTTGGATGAAATTAAAGGTCAGTACGTAGACTTGGCCATTCCAAAACATGAACTTCTTCTTGAACCATTCTTTGGTAGAACCACTTGTGTGTTTAGAGTCATTGTCTCACTGCATAACCCACATTCTCTTGAGATTCAGTTCATGGACAAATGTCCTGACATTTTCCTTTAGAATTCTCTGAAACAATTCAGAATTCATTGTTCCATCCATGATGGCAAGCTGCCCAGATGCAGCAAAATGGGCCCAAACCACGATACTACCACCACATTTCACAGATGGGATAAGGTTCTTATGCAGGAATGCAGAGTTTTTCTTTCTCCAAACAAAACACTTTCCATCCATCCATCCATTATCTTTTACCCACTTCTTCCATTTTGGGTCACGGGGGTCGCCGGTGCCCATGTCCAGCAATCACGGTGCGAGGGACGGGGTACACCCTGGACGGGTCGCAAGTCCATCACAGGGACACATAAAGACAAATGAGACAAACAACCATTCACTCTCTCACTCACACCTAGGGACAATTTAGAGTCACCAATCAGCCTAACATGCATGTTTTTGGTCTGTGGGAGGAAACTGGAGTACCCGGAGAAAACACACGCATGCACGGCGAAAACATGCAAACTCCACCCAGAAAGGCCCCCGGACCGGGATTTGAACCAGGGACCTGCTCGCTGAGAGGCAGCAGCTCTACCAGTTGCGCCATCGTGCTGCCAAAACACTTTCCATATAAACCAAAAAGTTCTATTTTGGTATCATCCGTCCACAAAACATTCTTCCAACAGTCTTCTGGTTCATCCACGGGATCTTTATCAAACTGCAGATGAGCAGCCATGTTCTTTTTGGAGAACAGTAGATTTCTCCTTCAACCCTGCCATGCACATCATGTTGTTCGGTGTTCTCCTGATGGTGGACTCATGAACATTAACATTAGTCAATGTGAGAGAGGCCTTCAGTTGATTAGAAGTTACCCTGAGGTTCTTTGTGACCTCGCTGACAATTACACTTGGAGTGATCGTTGTTGGTCCACCACCCCTGGGGAGGGTAACAATGGTCTTGAATTTCCTCCATTTGTACACAATCTATCTGACTGTTGATTGGTGGAGTCCAAACTCTTTAGAGATAGTTTTGTAACCTTTTCCAGCTTGATGAGCATCAACAACTCTTTCTTCTGAGGTCCTCAGAAATCTCCTTTGTTCCTGCCATGATCCACTTCCACAAACATGTTGTGAAGAGCAGACTTTGATAGATCCTGTTCTTTAAATCAAACAGGGTGCACACACACACCTGACCGTCATCCCATTGATTGAAAACACCTGACTCTAATTTAAAATAACTGATAATCCTAGAGGTTCATATGGGGTGCTGTTTGTGAAGTTGCACAGTCACAAATTAACATCAATATTTTGGTTAATTTAGCCTTTAATAAGAAAAAACATTTTTTCAAAGTCATATTTTCACCATGTTATTCGTACATTTATAAATGTCATAGGTCCCAACTAAATATTTAATTTACAAAATAAATATTTAGTTTACAAACTAAATACTTAACTTGCAAGTTCAATATTTAGTTAGTAAACTAAATATTTTGGTATAAATTAAATATTTAATTTACACCTAAATATTTAGTTTACCAACTAAATATTTAATTTATACACTAAACATTTAATTCCTAAACAAAATATTTATTTTGCTAACTAAATATTTAGTTCGGACCTAAATATTTAACTAGCAAGTTAAATATTTAACTAGCAAGTTAAATATTTAGGCAACAAGTTAAATATTTAACTAGCAAGTTAAATATTTATGTCCAAATTAAATATTTAGTTAAATTAAATATTTTGATTAGGAATTAAATGTTTAGCTTAGAAATTAAATATTTAGTTAGTAAACTAAATATTTTTGTGTAAATTTAATATTTTATTTATACCTAAATATTTATTTGACTAACTAAATATTTAACTTGCAAGTTAAGTATTTAGTTTGTAAACTAAACATTTATCTTGTAAATTAAGTATTTAGTTGGGAACTATGACATTTATAAATGTATGAATAACATGGTGAAAATATGACTTTGAAAAAAAACAACTATTTTTTTCTTATTAAAAGCTAAATTAACCAAAATAATGATGTTAATTTTTGACTGTGCAACTTTACAAATGGCACCCCATAGTTCACATACTTCCGTCACTCACAAATATGTAATATTGTATGATTTTCCTCAATAAATAAATGACCAAGTATAATATTTTGTCTCATTTGTTTAACCGGGTTCTCTTTATCTTCTTTTAGGACTTGTATAAAAATCTGACAATGTTTTGGGTCACATTTATGCAGAAATATAAAAAATCCTAAAGGGTTCACAAACCTTCCAGCACCACTGTACGATGGAGTTGAATATTGCTTTTGGTCTCTTTGAGAGAAGAAGAGCTGAGGTGTTGGAGGAGGCGGTGGGGGTAGACAGATGCTATACATAGCCTGTGATGGTCTGGCAGTAAAAACAAACAAGGTTTTCTTTCACTCACTCCTTTCACCGGGAGAGTTATGAGTCTGAGCCCTGCCGTTGGGGGTGTTTTGAGCCGTGTAACAGGTGTCGAGCTGCCTACTTCTGGCTCTTTATATCACCTGATTGAGATTTACAAAGCAACGCTGCCCGTGTAGTTGTCGGCACTCGTGCGATTTGTTGGGACGGTGCGTGTGGATTATCGCTTATGGTGCTGGGCAGGCAGAGACAGGAGGTGCAGCCATCCTTTTGATCTGACACTGATCTCTGATCAGTGTGAGATGAGGTTTCCTTGCGTCGGTCAGCTCGTGTTAACGCTGCTGTGGAAACCGTCTCTAGGGATGATGAAAAGGAGGCACGATGAATGACTGAGCTAAATTAGTCTGAGGAGCCTTTTTAATATCAAGCTGCTAGTTGATAAAAAGGCTTAAAGAGCTTCATGCAAAAGGTTTAAACCATTCAGGCCTTGAGCCGATGAAGCTGAAGGAAAAATTAGAGGTAATTTTGTCAGACTGACAGCAAAATCCAGAAGGGAATACTTTAAGCATAAAAAAAGAAACAATTTGCTATGAAAAAGGTTTGATTAATGGCGTACAGGGCATAGAGCCAAGTGGTTAAAATAAACATAGGGTATTCTATTTAGGAGTAGTTAAGAGTGATTCATTGCTTAAGCATTAAAACACCCTTATGGCTATTCTGTTTTTTTTTTTTTGTGCATCTTGTTTACAGCTTTCAAATAAAATACGCAAATTCAGCATTTTTTCCTATTTCACCCAGTGGATCACTTTTACAGGACTTACATTTGCTCCTCAAAAGACTGCACGCCTAAGCTTCCATAGACTACATTTATACTTTAGATTAAAATAATCACCACAAAACTGAAAATAAAGGATCTTTCATATCTTGTATATAAAACGCAATAGAAACAACAATTAATGTGTGTGCCCATCAGTCTTTTGTTGCTTGGAGTTTCTTTATTTTTTTTTTAGATATTGCTCAAAGTTTTCACAACTAATGTTTGAGGTTTACTTTTTAGTACGTTTCTGTCTGCACACCTGTGTTTGAGTGACAAACACAGGTGTGCAGTTTCCATGGTAACTATAAAAACCTGTCAGCAGCAATTTAAGAAATTCGGACATTACCACCTAAACATGTCTAAAGTGACTTGGGATGCACGATATTATCGGCATGGTATCAGTATCGGACGATATGAGCGTTAAAGTTAAATATCGGACATCGGTCATTCCATCAAAATAACTCACCGATATAAAAGACTTTGTTTTTGTATGACAAACCAGTAACAAGGATGCCTTTTAGCGCCAGTACAACTTGATGACGTCACGCGCACCTACCTGATCTGATCACGGTGGAGAAGAAGAAGTCAAAATGTCGGCGGTGTGGAAGATGTTTTTTCATTGAGGATGTCGAATTCCCAAGATTTTTGGGCTACAATGAGCATCACTACATCGTCCCCAGTCAGAGACATTTTTCCAACGTAACCTTACCCGAGTTACAAGCCGTCATTTCCGATGTCATTGAAAAGCTAATAGCCGATAGCACTTGGGTGAGTTTTACCACAGACATCTGGACGTCAAGTGTTAGCCCCGTTAGCATGATTAGTCTTACGGCACAATGGATAGACAAAAACTTTGAACTTAAAAAGATGTCCTTCATGCACAGGAGTGCAGAGGATCCCATACTGCAGCTAGGAACCTGGAACAAGCCTCCACAAGTGAGACAGCATCACAGGTGACTAATGCTAATAAATAATATTTAACACTTTTCATTTAATATAAGTTATAGTGCTATGCATATGGCTGTTGCTGAATATATGTCACCAGCTCTTACAGTTGTTACACAATTTTTGTAGCAAATAAGCCTAAATAAGAGCGCTCTGACAAAGGAAAGTATGAATAAAATATCGGTATCGGTTATCGGCCAAATAAGTTTTAACATATCAGCCAAAAATCCAATATGGTGCATCCCTAAAAGTGACCTTTTCATTTGTCCTGATTTCAAACTAATCTCACTCGATGTGGTGTACTTACTTATGCACGGCCTCAGAATGGACCTGCCCTGTTTGTATCCTGGGCCGCAGCGGTTACACCTGAGGCCAGTCACTCCTTCTCGACACAAGCACTGACCCGACGTTTGGTTGCACCAGCGACCCACCGCCCCCAGAGGATGGCACTGACACGCTGGGGAAGAAAACAGCACATCATTGTCATTTGACTAAACTGAAAAGTAATGGATAAATGAGGTTTAATGCCACACCGTCGGTTATTAGACAATCAAGCTGTATGCCGATGCCCCCCACCCCCCTCTCCATTGAGGGATTTGAATAGTGAATGTTTGTTTTCAAGATGAGATTTCTTTTCTGGACTGGAACTGAGCAGTGAATGCAAGTAAACAATGTTTTTGGTGCAAGATGTTCAAGTGTGTAGGTGTTATACTGTGGAGAAGAACAGAGTAGTTATTCTTTGATTTATCCGAGGCGGCACAGACTGACTGATCCTTGTGAGCAAAGGGAGCTCTTTAATTCACCACCAGGTGCAATGGAGGAGCCAGGGGTGGAAATGTGGCTTTGGTCACCATAGATTCATTTTTGTCCACCCCAATCATTTGAGGAAACTATACATTTAAGCAATATAAAAACTAGAAAGCATAATTTCTTCGAATAATCAGGGTGGCCAGTTTATATCTATCCGGTGGTGGCCATCTTGGACTTTGACGTGGCAACCCAATTTTACAAAAGTGTTCTTAGATGCAGTCACGCGCCAAAATAGAAGTTGATACCTCAGTTGTTTTTCAAGTTATGTTCACAGGATGGACCAATTCCTCTGTTCGCTCCACGACGGGGTACAAATTAAACTGACTTTTTTAAAGCGGGGTTCTGTAGAGTTGTTATCAACAACTACAAAAGATACATTTTTAGTGTAGACAAGATTTTTAGAGACTTGAGTTTAATGTAAACGATGCTGCAACCGGTAAAAACAATGACCGAAGACCATTCCCGTGTTAGCCAGGTTTAATCCTGAGAGACAGCAGGCATTTGTCCTTAATGTTTGTCCTTGAGTGAGACAAAGCATACCCCATGCATACCAGTAAATCTATTTTTTACCTGTCTCTATGTGCAAACGAAGACAAATTCCTCCATGAAAAATAACAAATCACCGAGATGTATTCTTATTGCTGCTTTAGAGACGATGAACAACCGTCACCCAAATGAAGACGAATGCTGTGCATGAACAGATTTATTTCCTGTATTGGTTGTTTTTCAGCAGATTAATAACTGCTCAGATTTGTCATGGTTTATGTGGCAACGCGTCTTATGTACCACCACATATCCCGGGATGGGACTAAATGGGAGAAGACAGATGGAGAAAAGGAAACCATGTTTCAGCAGCTCTGGTCACACTCGAGTAATGTTTACACAGATCCTTTTTAATGAGTCCAAACCGCCCGACCGGAGAAAATGAAGAATAATATCCCTGCTTGTCTCAGTGAAATATAGCTTCCATTAGGTAAAGTGAAAATATAAATCGACACTTGTGTTTTTAAACAATTTCAAGTAAGAAAAGGGATAAATGTATTATCTATTTTTAAATCTTAGCTGTTTTTCTTTACCTTCCTGCTCAGCCTCAGAAAACCCGTTAACTTTCATTCAGCCTTTATTCATTCAGGTTAGTCTTGGGATGCTTTGGGTCAAGCCTCCGCATTAAACCACCGCGTCAGAGTCATGACAGGTCAAAGGTCAGGGGTCGTAGCAGATGTCACAGTGGTAACGATAAAAGCGGTAGCTCAGCGGGTGTTTGTGTGCGTGTCTGTCCAGACAGGAATAGTTGTTCAATGCCACAATGTTAAAGGCCTAGCATTACTTGAAGGAATGCACATTGCCCACCACCTTTCATGTTATAGAGTTAGACTAAGATCATCTGATCCTATAAGATGATGGAGTTTTAGCCTTTTTTTGTAAAATCTTGAATATTCCATTATGCACGGTCGCACGCCAACCTGTTAGCACTCGGAGTATGTAATAGAGATGGTTCTCAGCTACCACCACACCAAGTTTTAGCTAACTATCCCTAAAATTGACCAAGCTATGGCTATTCTTTTGCTTTCTAAGATCAATTAGCTGTGGTAGTGCATTGATTGAAAACTCCCGATTCTAATTTCACCTTCAAACAAATGCTAATCCTAGAGGTTCATATACATTTGCGGCTCACAAATATGTCATATTGGATCGTCCTGATGCACATGCAATAATCCAGGTAGGTAAATCTAACAAGATTAAGTCAGGTCTGAAGAATTCGTCCAGAGGACCTGACTTAACCTTGTTAGAATAATACTGGATCATTTTCCTCATAAATAAATGACCAAGTACAATAGTTTTGTCTCATTTGTTTAAATGGGTTCTCTTTTTCTACTTTTAGGACTTGTGTGAAAATCTGATGATGTTTTAAGTCATATTTATGCAGAAATACAGAAAATTAAAGGATTTTAATTTTAAGTTTAAAGGAACTTTCAAGCACCACTGTAGTTTGCTAACAGACATTAAAAAAACACACACACACAGAGGCAATTGTATATTCCACCAGCTGTTCAGCAGCATATGAAAATAAAAATTTAGGGGTGGTTCACAATTTTCAACACTTTTTCACAAGCACACAAACCGTGCATCATGGGAGAGGAGGTCAAGGACTGGTGGGGTCAACCGACATGTTGCTATTCTCCCACGTGGCAAATATTGTGTATGTATACATTTATATAGGTTAAATCTAGTACTCTCTACCACCTTGTGCATGTGCATATTGGTTTTTTTTTTCTGAATTTGAATATTCTACTTCTTTTTTATTATTTCATGGGGTTTTTTTCTGAATAATTAGAACATGCTACTGGATGCCTCAAATTTTCCCCTGGGATTAATAAAGTAAGTAAGTAAGTACAGTATGTAAGTACAGTATGTATGTATGTATGCAAGTATGTATGTAGGTAGGTAGGAAGGTAGGTATGTACCTACCTTCCTACCTACGTATCTATCTATCTACAAACCTACGTATCTACCAACCTATCTA